CCTCCTGCGCAGGGGGAGGAAACCAGCGGGAGCATCTCCTTGCCCTGGGCAACTAGCCCCAGGTTTGTGATGCAGAGGGTCAGGAATGTTATCTTCCAGCACTGATCAATCATCCAGCTGTCGCAGGGAAAACAGGAGGTAAGAGGCAGAGAGGAGCAGTAGGACTCTGCCCTGAGGCTTGGTTTCCAAAAGCAGCCAAGTTAACCCATTCCTATCTCTCCACAACCAAACGTCCTGCCACCATCAGCAATTTTGCCATCACCGAAAGCTTTCTAGCTCATGGTTTTCTACACAAGTTGCAGAAGGATTGCTGGGAAACAACTCAAAACTATTGCAAGATTTCCATCAGTGTGCCAAAAAGGAGGAAAGACCCGAGACCTTGGATACAGCTTGCTGAGGTTTGCTTGAATTCACAAATTGCAAGCCAGCTCCTCACCTGTCTCTAATCATGCCGGCCCATTACTGCCCTGATAATTTCTCCATCAGCCCCACAAACACACACCACAGCTTACTGAATGATAAAATGCACAGAACCCCAGGCAGACAGGGTAAGGCTGCAATACACAGTGCGTGCAAGAGCAGGCATTTATCACCCTGCTAGGAAGGAAGCCGCTGGCTGGAAGCGCAGGAAGGTGCCCTCATCCCTGCAAGGGGATGCTCTGGAGCTGCAGTGCCCCAGAGCAATGGGAACTGTGCGGCTCCTTTGGTCCCTGGTCCAGGACCAGGCTGCAGCAGTTTCTGCCACACCTTTCCCAAGGCTCGGCACTTCTCCACTTCAAAAGAAATCACAGCGACACCACTCTGCACTAACAGCACTGATGGATGAACTGTGCCTCACCAGTGCAAAGCTCCCTGGGACACAAACGCTGTGATTTTTGCTCCTGTCTGGCTCCCAGTTTCACACTGGGAAAAATCTGTAAGACACAGCAGCAGCTACGCACATCGGAGCCTCCTGAGAGAGATGAAAAATGAATCCTGGCTCTCCGAAGCCACGGAAATCAGCTCACCTTCTTCACCTTGCCAGTCTTGGTCCCCACGAACACCACGCTGTAGTCGTTGTAGACGTAGGAAGCCACAGAAGTCATGCGGTCGCGGCTGGAGGTGAAGAGCATCACCCCGTCCACTGGCGTCGAGCCCCCCAGGGGCTGGTTGATGTCGAGGCCGCAGAAATTGTCATCAATGGGGACTGGCTGGAAAAACGAGGTTTGGGACAGCCGTGAGTCAAATGCAGATCCCGGGGCAGCCCCATGCGGAGGAGACCCAGAGGTGCTGACAGCAGGGTGGGAGCCACCCCCACCACGCAGCCCCCTGCTCAGGGACCCCCCCCCAGCTCCAGCCACCTTCCTCCAGGGCTTGTTCCTTCACCGCCCGAGGCCAAGACACCCTCTGCCTGGCTCCGGCTGTGGACAGAATACTCCAAACGTGCTCAGGTAGGGCTGAGGGGCATCCCTAAGACCAACAGACACTTTCATGGGTTTTCTAAATCTCCTGGGTTTCCTGCAGGTTCAGCCCCGCTGCATGGCCATGCAGAAACTCTCTCCTCCACCCATTTCACCTCCTCCCACTCCGATTTCCAGAGGTGCCAAGCACTCCAAGCAGAAAGGTGCTCAGCATGTCTCCACATCACCAAAGGCTTCCATCGAAGCCCACACGAGCCCTTCTGCCAACAGGGCTGATCCTACGCCATGAGACACGAGAGGATGCCACAAGCAAGGGAAAACAATGATGCTGACAGCTAAGTGTTATTAAGCCACATCAGCTGAGACTGCTTGAGTGAATTCCTCCACAGCATCAGTGGTGGGGTGGTGACACGGGTGGCCACTCGCCATCACACTGACTGCAATCCACTTATTTCCCACAAGGGACATTAACTACCAAATGCTCAGGCAGGTCTAGTTGCAACAGTGATGGGATGACTCTTCCCTGTGCAAGCCAGCGCTCGAGCTTCTCTTCGCCTTCCTGCTTTCATTTAATTTCATTTAACCCACGTTTATCTCTTCCCAGCAGCCAAACTTAATATGCCTGGCAAAAGAAGGCCCCAGGGATTCTCAAGTCAGCCCAGGAACAATCTGCGTGTGAATCAAGATTAAAGAAATCAGCTGAATAAAAATACAAAAGACACAACCGTCATTTGTATTTATCTTGTTAGTTTGGCGATACCACCCTCCTGTGTGCAGGGAAAGGGGAGAGCCTTCCACTGGCTTCCAGAGCCCCAGGCTGGGAACAGCCAACACCTCCAGCAAGCTGCACACCTTCATCCATCTGCCTTAACGCTGCCCCTTCCTTTCACTGTCATCACCAACTGTCTGAAAACAATGGGGATTAAAGAGGCAAAGGACTACTGCATCTATTCTGTGTCCAGGGAAGGCACATACAGATCAATCCTATTCCACCAGCTCATGTGCCACAGGGCCAGGCATTGACACTGGTTCTCGAGGGCTACCGTGGCCAACAGCTGGAGCATCCTTACCGCTTTAGTGCACTGGACATCCTTCCCCAGCAGCCAGTTGAGCTCCAGGTTGCCTTCCCCCTGGTAGCAGGATTGCAGGCGGTCCTTGATCTGAGCGTTGACGGTGCGAATGGGGAAGACGCAGAGCGCAGAGTCGTCGGGTGGCTGATGGTACTGCTTCTGTCCCTTGGAGAAAATGGCAAAGAGGACATCTTCCTGGGCTGTGATGTTGAGGGACTTTGCCAGCACCTCTCCTGGCTTGGAGAGGTATGCTGCTTGCAGGAGGCGGTACTCCGTGTCCCCCTTAACGCAGCCAAAGGGCAGAGAGACGTAGGAGTGGAATTTGGGGTCGTCTTTGCAGAGACGGACGATGCGAGATGTGTAAAAGAGATCGCTGGCAGAGTTGATGGAGACCCCCTCGGGGGTCTCTGGCTGGACAGTCAAAAAATAGACAAAGTTACCGCTGGCAAAACCATAGATGTAGAAGATGTCAAAGTGCGAAACAAGGGCCAAGGTGTCTGACGGGATTTTGATGAGGGATGAGACAAAGTCACTGTGGAGCTCGTAATCCAACATTGCTGATGACTCTGGGTCCCGGGGAAGCTTGCGGCTGGAGAGGGTGGGGAAATAATCCTGCTTGCCATCCACCGCGGTGCCGATGAAGAGCTTCCCATCTTCACCTTCCGAGCGCACAATCACACCGTACATCGTGCCCGTCTTGTTGACGCTGGAGAGGTAGTGCTCCTTTTTGTGCGAGGGCTCCACCAAGATGAAGAGGTCATCCAGGCGCAGCAGCTTGCAGACCCCCTGGTAGAGGCTGCCGCAAGCCAGCAGCCGGTTCTCCGAGTAGTCAATGATCAGCAGCTTGTTGACGTTGTTGGTGAGGGTGAGGATCTCGCTGCATGGCTGGACGATGAGGGGTGGGTAGCAGGATTTATTGTCCTCCTCAGGACCAGTTTTATGAGCCACCAAAATGGTCAGGTTCCCCGAAAGCTTGTAAACCCTGTTGATAGCCCCAACGTAGACTGCGCCGGTGCCTTGGTGGACAGTCAGGTGGTTGAATGTCCAGTCCCGGTTCTCAGAGTGGAAAGTGCTGAACAAGGCATTGCTGGACACATTTCGGCAGAGTGATGCCAGGAACAGACAGAGCAAAGCCACCGACCAGCCATCGGAGTCCGGTACCCGAGGCCAGTTCTTCCTCTGATCCATCCTGGGAAAGGCAAACTTTGTGATCCCCGTGCGTGTCCTGTGCCCCAGCAATGTCCCTCACATGGTTCTGGGGAAAGAAAAAAACAGAGAGAGGAAAGGATTAGATCCAGTGTGCCCTGCAGATAAAACTCAAAGGAGACTTTCTAATTACACAGTCCTTGAGATAAAGTGAGGACATCTCTAAGCCCAAAAAGAATTAAGCAGGTCTCCTAACTTATTGGTAAACAGTTCAGGCCTGATGCTTTGCCACTTGGTTCAGCCTCTGCGTGTTAATTTGTTGTGTGGTTTAGCTGTTTATAACGTACTCTGCTCAGCCATGGGAGGGGATAATCAGCTCCAGCCCCAAAGCCCACAGCTCTCACACCCAACCATCAATCTGCAATCTTGGCTAAAAGGATGCCTCCTGCAGGGAATGTTGTTGGAAGCAAGAGAGGAAATAAGAGGTGTCTGCTACCTTTAAACCCTCTATGATTTAATCTGGAAACCTGGGGAAGAAGTCTCATGCAGGCAGGTTCACTGAGCACATACAGACCAAAGCCACCAGCATCTCCGCTCCACTCTCCCCAGAGCCACCAGTACTCCTCGCTGCCATCACAAGGACTTTACAGCTGAAAAGCAGCTGCTACCAGGGTGGGGGAACATGCAGTTAGAACAACAACTCAACACTCCCTGCTCCCAATCTTGGAGCCTAGGACAAATTTCCTACTCTAGCAAAACTTGCATGTGATGATTAAAACCTACACGCAGCAACAGCTTGGCCACTGGGTCCAGAAGAGCCAATGCAACCCAATTGCTCGTGTGCCCTTCCCCATGGCTCTACGGCCAACAGCCAGAAGCAGAGTCTCCTTCCACCACTTGAGCTGGATAACCCTGGACAAAACCTATGTGGAAATGAGGGATGAAAGACAGCCAGGTTTTGCTGTAGGTTGTTTTTTATGGGTGCTCCCAAAGCGCCCAGACCTTGTTGGGGCCCGAGTGATGGCTGGAGTCCCTCTGATCCCCAGCCCCATCCTCCCTGCTCACACGGGCAGCGTCAGGCTGAGTCAAGAATCACCGGGCTGGAATTTCCTTCGGAAGCAGACGCTCACCTCGGAGAGGCTCTGGCCACATGAGGCATGTTTACATCAGAGCTTCCATCCACCCTTCCGGCCAGCGCACACCAGGCACACACAGGAGCTGCTGAAGAGGACCCGCATGACCCTCTGCCTGCTCCACCCCATCACCCTGCACCTCTGCTAAGGTGGCAGACTCCTGTGGCAAAAATATGAACATTAAAGGCAATGCAAATCCATGCACTTCCACGTCTGTCTCATCTACAGGGGGACTGGCTTGGACCGTCCCACGCAGGAGGTACGGGCTCAGTTCCCAGCTCAGCAGAGCTGCTCAGAGGAGCTGTCAGGCCAGCAGAAAAGCACTCTGCAGTGGGCACCACGCAGGGCTCTGCACCTCCCTTGTCACCGCAGGCATGCCTGGAGGTCACTGCATGGTGTCTCATCCGTGTTATCATCTCCAGACCTGGCTATGACTTGTACTCCTGGCTTGACCTCAGCCTTGGCTCCTCACCACAGATGTGTCAGACCACCTGGACTCATCACAAAGTTCTCCTTTACCCCAAATTACGCACTGCTTACACACTCCAGGCTGCATGACCAAAGGAACCATTTCAGCCTGCCTTGGGGAGAGATGCTCTCCACCACCTCACGGCACCCCAAGGCTACACCAGCCCTGGGAAGCGATGGAGGACAAGCCACCATTCCCCCTGCTCGAAGTCCCATCACCTCCCACACAGCCATGCAAGCCCCAGGCACACACACTGGGGAGAAATCTGGGCTCCCTGCGGGTCTGACCCTCCTCCCCTCCCTGTGTGCAAAGGCAGAGGCTGTTCCCTGGCACAGCCCTCGCTCAGCTGTCCCCACCTGCGGGCAGCCACCGCTTTGATTGATGCTGATCTCCGTTTTGGTATTTAAAATAATTCACGCTGCTGAAAACCTACACTGAGCTCATAAGCGAGTGTCACCGGATGGCGGCTCTTTAGGCTTGTTAACGCCGGGAGCCGGAGACGGGTGTTTCTGAAAGGTGACAAAGGAGCCCTGTCCCTGGGCTGCACGTCTCGGTGTCACTGACAAGACAGGAGAAAGAGAGCGGTAATGGGTTTCTCATTCTGCTCAGGGATACATTTCCTTGGCTGCTTGCTTCTTATTTCCAGTCTCTTCATTTCCACCTTTGGCTGGCGCAGTTTCTCTCTCTCCCAGGCAGGATGCAGACCCTGCTGCATCCTTATCACTGTTTGGATGATTGTGGCACAAAGCAGCCGCCCGCGCTGCGGACCCCAACGTGCCACAACAGCACCGAGGTGACCTCCCCGCCTCTTATTGAATTTTTTATCCCCAAACTGTTCTCTGAATCCAGAACCTTTCAACAGGGCACAAATCAAATGGCTCCTGAGGATGTGCTCGGAGGAAGGCTCCCCACGCTGCCCACCGACAACCTGACCATGGGGCTCTCGGAGCAGTTTTGCTCTTGGATAATGCAACAGTGCAGCCCTAGAAGTCTGCATGTGCTGCTGGCAGGGAGATGCCAGCCAGCATGCATTCTCAATGCACGAGAAACCTCAAGCACCGCGGTGCCCCAGGGAAGGGCTTGGACACAGCAGCCCAGCTCCCATCGGCCTGGGGAGGGCACAGAGGGGGTGGCTGCGGTGTTCCTCCCCGGGCAGCACAGATGTGCCTTGCCCCAAGGAATCCCTCACTAACAGCATCCCAACAATAACGGTACCTCCGTTCCTCATTCCCTGAGGAGAGGTGCTGCTGAGGCAGAGGGCTCTGCAGTTCCAGGGAAATCCAGAAATAAGAAATTCTGCAGAGAATGGGGAGGCTGCAATGCAAAGCTCAGCACACAGCAGTGCTCCTGCTCAGCAGCTTTCCGATTTTTAAAAAGTTGTTCCATTGCAAAGTGAGAACAGCGCAAGCTAGAAATTAATAAACTTAAATAATTAAATTTTATGTACATATGGGGCAACAGAAGCTCTTCACTTAGACCGCAGCAGTTCCATCTCCTTTCCAGCAGCGCTTTCATTCAGGGACGGCACAAAAGCCAGCGCCAGGCTGGGGCTGTCGTGCAGCAGAGCTGGCAGCTGAAGCCCAACGTGCACGTGGAGCCTTACAGGGGAGGTTTTGCAGAGTATTTGCGAACACTCACTGCCAAAGGCAAGAGAGATCACCCAGGAAGAAGAATGTGCACTTGCACATGTTGTTTGAAGATGACAGAGCGTGGCCATGAACTGCCACCCTACCCAAACGAGCCAGGGGACGATGCTCCATCCCCAGCTCCGTGTCACACACATGGGTGCAGCACACGGATGAAGCAGCGCTCGGTGACACGGGTACCAAACGCCAACAGAAACCCCCTGCATCCCACGGGGGATGGCTGAGTCCAGCTGGGGAGTTAAATGCTGGAGAAACAGGAGCACGGGTGATTTTAACACTGATCCTTAATACTTTTGACCATTAAACCATTAAATTTTCCTCTTTTTTTTTTTTTTTTTTAAGAAGCGAGTTTAAAATACAGCCTTAAAAGCAATCTGAAGCTATTAGTAACACAAGGTGAAAGAGAGAGTAAATTCAGGGACACAATATAAACCCAAGCAGCTGAAAGGCCTCAATTAGGCTGAAAGGAGTTATCTGGTATTTAAATAATTATTAGATTGAAGGAATAATCACAGGTCTGAGCCAATTTTTTTTCCCCCACTGTCATCCTAATGGACACTATAATATTATTATTCAAATGCCCATGATTCTCATTGAGGGGGGAAGAAAAAAGGGCTCATTTAATCTCCACGCGACAGGGCTTCAGGAGGCCGATTAGTCATTTCTCTTATTTCAGCTGTCACTCACTCGTGGCAACACAGTTTGTCATTAGTGCTATTTTATGCACACACACACACACAAAAAAAAAGGGTGAAAAAGGAAAATTAAGCAAAACCAAAAAGAGAATCTCCTCTGGAAAATGACGGATCAAAGGACCAATTTTGATGTCACCAGCGCAGCAGCTGTGTTTGCTCTGCCGTGACGGTATCTTTTCTGCTGGGGTAGGGTTGGTCTGGTGAGCAGCGGTTTACACACAGCCCCCGCCAGCACCGAGCCCTCGCCCATCGCCTCTGCGGCTCCAACAGCCCCAGACCCTCCGAGACACAGCAAATGCACCTGCATCGACCCCAGCATCCTCCCCTCCACCCTCAGCATCCCAGCACCGCATGCTCTGCCCAGACTGTCCCTGCATCACCCCCGGCCGGAGCCCCCCAGGGTCCCCACCACCCCTCAAATGGGGACTGGAGCAGGTGACAAAACCCTCTACAGCTTTTCTCCTAAAGCCATGGGGGTTTGGGGAGTTGCCTCCCAGAATAAAACCTCCTGAGAAATAACAGAGCTTGCGGGAAGGGGGCCAAGGGGCTCGTGATTGCTTTCGAAGCTGGAGGTGGGTTCTGCCTTTTTTTCCTTTTTATAGTCAAAGAAGATTCATGGCTGCGAGGCTGGGAGCAGGGAGAGCGGCTGGGCTGCGCTGCCGGCCCCCCCGCAGGGGCTGCGACTCTGGGATCAGGGAGAGGGGCTGGCTGGCTCTGCTGACCTCCCTGCAGGTCACCAGGCTGTCAGAGAGCCCCCAGCATTATCAAAAGGGTCACCAGAAGGGCAGGCTACACTATATAAACTGAAATACAAGAACAAACCATTCGGAACAACCTCACCCTTGCACCAGCCTGACCCTTTCTCTTTGCATTGTCTCCATATCGCATCTGCCAACTGGAATGAGGGGAAAAAACCTGAGACCTTGGCCATCGCCTCGTAGCAAAGGAGAACGCACGTGCCCGGTCCTCATCCCTCCCAGAGCCCATCAGGAATTTTTCTGTGAAACATTTCCAACCACTAAAGCTGCCGTAGTGATTTATCCCCTTTGAATAAGTGACATTCAGGATGCGTTTGTCAGCTATGCAGGGAGACCTTACA